AAGATACAGTATAGCAGTGAGGGTACCAGTGAGATGAAGTGGAACTTGCTGAAACTGCCTGGCAATGTTGAAGATCGGGCAGGGTGGAGCACATCTGGAGAGGAGACAGGTAGCCTGTGAGCACCATGGGCAGCTTTTGGGGCTTTACAATGGATGACAAGGAAATGACATTTTCTACTACTTTTTTAAAATTAACTTTAAATGTCATTTTTATTTTTACTTTTAAATATATTTTAATGATCTCAGAGAGGAAGGGAGAGGGAAAGAGAGATAGAAACATCAATGGTGAGAGAGAATCATTGATCAGCTGCCTCCTGCACGCCCCCTACTGGGGATCGAGCTTGCAACCCGGGCATGTGCCCTTGACTGGAATCGAACTCAGGACCCTTCAGTCTGCAGGATGACGCTCTATGCACTGAGCCAAACCAGCTAGGGCTAAATTTCATTTTTCAATTACAGTTTATATTCAATATTACTTTGTATTAGTTTCAGGTGTACAGCATGGTGGTTAGACAATCATATACTTTACAAAGTGTTCCCCCTGCTCTTTCCAGTGCCCACCTGACACCATACATAATCATTGAAATATTATTGATTATATTCATACAGATGGGAGTGGAGAAGTTAATCATGTCAACTCCTGTTTGACAACAATTACCTAAGAGTGGTTTGAGAATAACAAACTCAAGATGTTCCATCTATTGATAAAGAAAACAGTAAGTATGGTAAGTAGCATCCGCCTAATATGTTTATACTCGATAATTTGTTTGTTTAAAAAATAAACCAGCTGGCATGCAAAATCTAAATCAGTAATCAAAATAAATTTGGGTCATCAGACTCAAAATGTGTCCATTTGTTCTATAGTCATTAAACTACCATTTATATTTAATTCATATTTCTTTAACCTAACGGGTGCATTTGCAAGTGTTTCTCAGATAGCATCTTTCACTTCAAGACCCCAAAGTACTTTTGACCATAATATTTTATTTGTATAATTATAAATTAATATAGTGACATACTTTAGGATTATTTAAAGATGCTCATCACTTCTAACTTAATGAGATATTGTTGGTGGAATGACTAGCCATGTTAATGAACCTGTCATGATTATCTTTTAAAAAAAATATATTTTATTGATTTTTTGCAGAGAGGAAGGGAGAGGGACAGAGAGTTAGAAACATCGATGAGAGAGAAACATCGATCAGATGCCTCCTGCACACCTCCTACTGGGGATGTGCCCGCAACCAAGGTACATGCCCTTGACTGGAATTGAACCTGGGACCTTTCAGTCCGCAGGCCAACGCTCTATCCACTGAGCCAAACCAGTCAAGGCACATGATTATCTTTTATGTCCACTGGGCTGTGACATAATGGGGACCCAAGGAGGGTGTCCACTAATTTGAGTGTCTACTTCCTGCTTCTGAGATCTGAGAACAGAGATCTTCAGAGGTACTGCTAAGTGTGGGACTGGAAGGCAAAAAATGACTGAGATAAGGATGTGGAAATCTCATTGCTGCTCCCCACCAAGAGTTTCCAGAGAGATGGAGACGTTTAGCAGCTTTGTAGGCCTCTGGAGACACAGCCAAGGCCAGGCCCTCGGAGCCTGGGTGGCTGGCCCACCTGACATGGTAGGCTTGCTTCTGGAAGTCTAGAGAGAAGTTCTTTAGTTGCTCATCTGAAGATCTTTGGCACCCTCTCCCCGCAGTCCTTATACTTACTGCCCCTCCAGCCTGATAGTCCTCCTCAAACTCCTCCTGGCTCACACTGAACCTGATACCAGTCTTCCCTGCTGATTCTGAACAAAGAACCACAAAGAATCATGCCTACTCAGGCTCCTGGAAACCCAAGACAAAAACAGAGAAGGGCGAGGGTCAGGAAGAGTCAGGCTCAACAACAGCTACTTCCGAGTCCCTCGTTATGCTCTACATGACATGGCCATACTGGGGATGGAGGGGAGTGAGGAGGAAGAGGAGACAGTGATCACTTTTCAGTGTTTATTATCAATGATGATGGTGAGCAGCACAAAATGGGGCCCCTTCAATGTTTTACCTTCTGCAGAGAACAAAAATGCCAACATTACCACCACCACCACCACCACCATCATTATCACCATCACCATCACAGTTCATATTTAATGAGTGCTTATTATATGCTGTACAATATTTTAAGCACTTTTACATTTAAATTATCATAACAAGTCTATGTGAGAGGTACTGTCATTCCTGTTTTACAGAGGAGAAGAGAGATACACTGAGCTCAGGTCGTTAGCCCAGCTGGTAGGCAGGAGAGCCCAGACCCTGAATCCCAGGTAGTGTGACTGCAGAGCTCACAGTGTCACTGCTACATATTAATGCCTCTCACAAAATACAAATTGATTTTGAATATCTGATTTGGTATTTGCATTCTTTTAAAAAACTTTTTTCTTATTTAATGTAATACCCAATAGAGTTGAGACCTGGTTTATAATTATTATTATCATTATTTTAGCAATTTTAGATAATGATGTCCATCTGCCTTTGGAGCAGACTTTCCATATTTGGAGGGAAAGAATCAGAAGGGCTCTTTGGGTACACAAATATAAAACACGTGCTCTTATTTTTCTTGGAGAAAAGTGAGGTTATCATAAACCCAGATATAGATGCTGCAGTCCATCCTATTAAGTTCTGTTTTGTAATATAAATGGAATGGAATGTATTTTTAGGATGACTGTATTCTCCCAGAATTGGAGAATTTTTTCCTTTAATAAGGACAGGACCTGCGTGGTTGGAAGAGCCCACACAGTGTTGTTAGAGACTGAATAACCCAGAATTTGGAGGGCAGCGCTCACTCTCTGGGTAGCAGTGAGAGTTTCCCCTGAAGGAAATGGATGTTTCCCTGTCACTTCGTTATTCAGTGCTAGCAAGGGAGCAGGAGGTCAGGGGTGAGCATTAGTCCAGGGAGAGGCCTGGAGATGCTTGGTGAGGTCTGGGTTTCTGGGGACAAGACAGGGAGCTGGGGACGGGAGTTCAGAGCTTAGGGATTGGCCTGGGAGCCTAAGTGCAACCCCTTGTGGTATTAACTATGCTAGTCTCTGTTATTCTTGGACTCCCTGGGCTTTCAGTTCAACTCCAGGGCCTGGTCTTTACTGTGCTTTGGGCATTTGAAAAGCAGGCCAGTGCTCACAATATGACCCAGATTTGTTGGTTAGGGATCTGCAAAAATGTGGCTGTGCAGGCAGGGCTGCGGGCAGTGCAGGGATGTGCCCCACACCTCCTGGAGCACCAGGACCTACAAGAGGAGAAAGGATAGCCTGGCGGAGAGGGGACAGAGGCTTGGACTTAGGGAGCTTGTATATTAAAGGACATTTAGTCACAGTTTAAAGAGGTCTGGGGATAAATGTAGGTTATGCTGAAATAATGTTTGCTCTGAACAGTAGCAGAGAAACCAGCCCGATACACAGTAGACATGCTGCTTCGTTTGACTAATCAAGTATTTCTTAAAGGTAAGAAACAGACCTTCATAAAGAAATAGAAGTCTTATGATTCTCAGTGTTGCTTTTGTTATATTGCTTAAGGATATAAATATATAAAACTAGTTAAAAGGTCTTTACCCTTACAGTTCTTAGTCAACCATAAAACCAAGCCAAATTTTAAAGTCAGTACAAGCTAAAGTACAAAAGCACATGTTTATTAAATTGTTTATTAACGATAGCAAACTACTGTACGTGAAGATGTCGTTTGGGGGAAACTCAGTGGCCAAGATGGTTAAGAGTGGAAGTGAACAAGCTTAGTCCCAGTTCTAGGTTTTGACCTTGGCAAGCTAGAGAGCGCTTATTAGGGTAAGTCTTCTATAAAAATAATTGCAAAATTCCCAAGCGCTGTTGTCTACTTCAGAATGGGCAGGTCTCAGATTTAAGGACAACAATAATAATAAATTCTGCCAGTGACAATCCTCAAAGGCCAGTTTTGATGATATACCACTTGATAACCATATAAAGCTGCCCTATATGCTCAAAGATGAGGTTACATCTGTGGCATTTTTGAAAATATGCATTTTACCGGAATCTAATACACTCTGGTGTGAGTCAGAAGCAGAACAGCTTCCTATGCATTTCCTGTCTGCACACTGGTACAAACAAAGATATTTGCTCAGTGCCTACGGGAATACACCTCTAGGCTCAGTGAGTCCTGCCTACGTCATCATGAACATGTGTTAGCTCAATTACCCCACCCCACCCCTTTGTTTTTTCCATTGTAAGACCATCATCCACATACTGTGGCACATCATTGTCCTCTGTTTGATGCAAATGTGAACAGAAAACAACATTGCAATGCAAGCACCAAATGCTCTGGGATGTAGGGCTTTCCTGACCAGGGAGAGACTGCCCCTTCAGAATTAGCTGATTCCTAGAAGTAGTAAATGACTTGCCTGAGAGTGAGCCGTTGATACGCAAACCAACGGATCCTGAGTCTACTCTGCCCCCCTGACTAGCTCTTGCACTGCAGGAGGCAGTATTTCTCTACCTCAATCATCCCAGAGCTGGGTACCAACCACCCTATAGCCTATAACCCACCAAAATTGTTCAAACCATCCAATCCTAAACCTGCTCACTGCTTACTTCGCCTCAAGCATTACTTCCTATAAAAACCACAGGGAAGGCTTTTGCTCATGCTTTCCTCTTACTCAGTGGTTCTCAACCTTGGCTGCACATTAGAATCACCTACGAATCTTTTTAAAATCCTGATTTCTGGGCCTCATCCTCTGGAAATTCTGTTTCTTTGTTATGGGGTGAGGCCACAACATTAGTATCAAAGAAACAGAATTTTCGGAGGATGAGGCCCAGAAATCAGGATTTTAAAAAGATTCCCAGGTGATTCTAATGTGCAGCCAAGGTTGAGAACCACTGCTCTTACTCCTTCTGACTCCTGACCAACCCTGGTGCTTCCCCACATGTCCCTGTATAATTTAGCATGCCCCTTCCTTTCAGGAATTCTAAGTAACCAAATATCTTTTCAGTGGCAATCATCTGTTGCCTCACCATACCTGGATAAAACCATAATCACAGGTACTTGTGAAAACAATTGGTAACCTGCTCCTGCTATGGTTGGAGGGAAAGATGGTGAGCTCCAGAACAGGGGCCTGGTTTCAGTTGTCTTTAAATCCCAAAGGCTAGCACACTATTTGGAATCACTGTAAGCCTCAAGACCGTGACAGGATCAATGAGGTGGGTCCTAACACACCTTGACTGTTACAACCATTGAACAAAACAAAATAAAAACTCGCTGGATCCACAAATCTAACATGGCAATGAACGTTCCCCCTCATCAGTGCAGACAGATAGGTCTGCAAGATGCATGGTTATCTCGGCAACCCACGGGGGGTGGGGGCAGAATAAATAACTGTGTAATGAATCACATATCATATCAAGTTCTATCTTCCTAACAGCATCATTACTGACGGAGGTATCGTGGTTTTAAAACATATCCGCAAATTCTTTGACACTCCTCCCCTCAAGAGGTGGTTTTATTTTCCTGCTTCTTTGCGTGACTGGTAAACTTTGATTGGATGCCAGACATTCTGACTCTATCTCATTGGGTGCTGGATATTTTTGTATCCCTATATATATTCTGGGACACAGTTAAGTTGTCTGAAAACAGTTTGATCCTCTCAGGTCTTGCTTTGAAGATTTGTTGGGTAGGACCAGGGCAGCACTGAGTCTAGAGATCACTTCCCCCGCTGTGAAGGTAAGACTTTTCTGCGTACTCTACCCAATAACCTGTGAGTTATGAAATGTTCCAGTCTGGCTGGTAGAAACAGGCGCTCTTCCTGGATCTGGGCCAATGTGAATACTGTTCTTTCTAATCCTTCCAGAAAGTTCTTTTCCCAGCATTGGGTGGTCTGTTCACAACATACATGGATCAATTGTGCTGCTTTAAAAGGGACCCTGTGCAGATCTCTGCAGCTCCCTCTTCCCCAGCACCCTGCCCCATGAACTTGAGTCTCCTCAGACTCTCTGTCTCCTCAACTTAGGGAGTCCACTGGGCTCCTCTGGGTTCCCCTTCCTGTGCTAATGGCCTGGAGACTATTCAGGTAGTTGCTGGGACCATGTAGGGTTCACCTTGTTGGTGTCCCATTTCTTAGGGGTCACTATCCTTCATTGTCTAATTTCAGTGTCTTAAAAAATATTATTTCATTTAACTTATGATTTTTTTAGTGTGTGTTTTTTGTTTTTTTGTTATTGTTTAGTTGTTGTTGTTGTTGTTGCTGGTGGTGGTGGTGGTGTGTGTGTGTGCGCGCGCGCGCATGCACGCGTTGTTGGGCAGGCAGGTAATTTGAATTCTGTTACTCCATCTTGGCCAGAAGTAGACATTCCCAAAGTGTTTCAGAAAGTACTTCGAGCATCTACACTCCCAACCACATTGTACAGGAGTTGCTGTTGCTTTACATCTTTATACAATTTTCAGACTTTCTAATTGTTTTAGGGATTAAACTAGTTCACATAAGGGACTTGAAGTGATGTTCCTCACAATACAATCTAAAATTAAAAAAAGAGAGGAAATATTTAACCTAAAGGGATGAATCTCTACCCATGAAATTTCAGGCAGAAGGGGAATATGCTAGTACTGTGGGAATTCAGCTCACTACTCTTTACCACTAGAGTATTTCCATTTGTTTATTTAAGGAAAGCAAAGTTGTTAACACATTAAAACTAACAGTTCTGTGAAATGGAGGTAATGTTAATGCCTACTACAAATCTTACAAGCACTTAATTCCATGAACAGAGAGAACCCTGGAGATTCTTGGCAAAAATGTCCTAAAGTCCAGGGAAAGACACAAAGATGGATGTGCGCATACACACAGGATGTCTTGGGCCAGAGGAGCAGCATCAGCTGGCCGCTTCGGTCACTTGTCACGCCCTTCTCTCTCTGGGGACTGCATTGCCACCGCTAAAAGCACTTATAATTGTTTCTTTGAAAATGGCCATATTCTCCAGAGAAGCTCTCAGGCAAGAAATCTAATTATCTTGGAATTATTGAATTCTCTGGGTACCGTCTTCTAGGTAGGCAGACAGAGTCTTTATTTCATTTTTAGAAAGGTTGTTTGCTGTTACACATAATGGACTGTTTGTCCTCTTCCTCCCACCATGGTTTGGAAAGAGAAGCAGTGGAATTTATCAATCCCTCCTCTACACCTGGCCTTCATCAAACACTGCAAACAACCAACACTGTGTAGAAGCATTTGGTTAAAAAAAAAAAAAGCGCAAAGCTTTGGTAGTGAGCATAGTTATTAAACTAGAAAAATGTCTCTACAATCTTCATTTTATTTTGTTTTTAGTATTTGTACATCCACAGTCCTCATTCTGCAATAACATTTGTTTTGTGGTTGCTGACGGATGTGATAAAACAGTCCAAGATCTGCTTTCCACAGTTCTTTACAACAGACCAAAATAGCATTCTTGTTCACGCAAGGATAGCCCAGCATTGGCGTGCATTCTGGCCAACTAGCCGAGGGTGAACAGAAAGTCCGTGGTCAATTTCTCAGTGGTAGAATATCCTCTTTATAGTTACAAAATTGCTTCCTCCAAGGACAAAAACAAAGCTGCTTTATGCTACTTTTTCACTTCGTCTAACTCAGAGGGTGCGAGTCACAAGAAATGGGAGACACGGGTAATCACGGCATTTGTTTCTGGAAATAAAATGGTCTTACTTCCTTGTCAATGTGAGTGCCAGGACTTCACTGATGAAAATTAAGTAAAGGTTTTCCATCAAAGAACTTTCTTTTGGAGGCTTTAAAATTCAAACTGCCATCAAGTCTTCCGCATAATAAAGCATGTTTTGAAGTTTCTCGGATTTCTTTAAAATGGGCATTTATATCTTTTACGTACTCTTCAAGTAATATTTGCAGCAGAGAAAGGCCATTCCAATTTGCTGACACTACTTAGAGTTGTGTCTTTCATTTGCTCTGATTAGACATGAGGAATGAGAGAGGACCAGTCAGGATAGTTTCAATCAACGTTAGTTCCTATTCAGTGTCAAGCTTGTCTCTGAAAAACCTTCCGTATCCAAAACCGGGACAGATCTTAAAAATGAGTCCTCGCCCTAGCTGGTTTGGCTCAGTGGATAGAGCATCAGCCTGCAGACTGAAGGGTCCCAGATTTGAATCTGGTCAAGGGCACATGCTCAGGTTGTGGACTCGATTCCCAGTGTGGAGCGTACAGGAGGCAGCCGATCAATGATTCTCTCTCATCATTGAAGTTTCTATCTCCCTCTCCCTTCCTCTCTGAAATCAATAAAAATATATATTAAAAACAAAAACAAAAACAAGTCCTCTCATCATGCCATTTCCTTTCTTCATGAGACTCTAGTGGGTTCCAAACCTGACTGCAGGGTCCTCAATTAGAATGAAACCACTCATTTTAAAGTCGAAAAGAAACATTCTTGCCAAATGGATCTGGAAGCTCCCAGAGTACTGTTAGCCTCAGAGCCTCTGGAAGGAAACTTCAGAATCACCCTCAGTACACCCTTCCCTTCCTCCCACGTTCAACAACCAAAGGGCTACCTTAAAAACATCTCTTCCCATGTCCAGCGAGAGCTGCTCTCTCCATGCCCTACCATCACTCATGTGCATATAGGCCCCAATGAGTCTCCCTCCTGCCGGTCTCTCTTCAGTTACATCGGCCTTTCAGACACGTGACCAGCACTGGATCGCTTCTGTGCATAGGTGTCTCCCCCTTTTGTCTTGCCGCTTGGCTTTTAGATGGTCTTCTGTGGGGAGCCCTAAGGGCTGAGCTGACTGAGCCCCAAAGCTCCTTCCCTCCTCTTCAAAGGAGCTCCTCCTCCTCTATGACTTGTGTTTTGGATCTTGGATGGAATATTTCATTGAAAAGGAAGCATGCTCATTAAACAAACCTACAAAGCACTGGCCACAAGATAAAATCTGACTTCCTTACCATGACATGGAAGGTCTTCTACGGAAAGTCCCATCCTACCCAGGAGCCTCATCTTCCGTTTCTCCCAGTAACCTCTGCTCCAAGCCTTCATCAAGGGCATGACCTCTGACATGTCAGGGTTCCCACACTCCTTGTTGGATATACATTTCTGCACTTACCTCCCTAAAGAACTCCTAGCAACCTTGAAGACACAGCCCATTTGTTACTTCTTCATTAAACCTTCCTCAACTTTCCCAGTTAATTATTCCCATCTTTGTGCTCCCATCATATTATAAACCTTTATCATTGCACTCTCCTACACTGCATTGTCATTTTATATGTCTTTCTTCCTGGAACCTACCGTGTCTCATTGATCTTCAGATCCCTGGCATTGACAAGAGACATATGAAAACATGCTCAAAGTCACTAATCATCTGAGAGATGCAAATCAAAAAGACAATGCGGTACCATCTCACACCTGTCAGGCTGGCTATCATCAACAAATCAACAAACGACAAAGTGCTGGCGAGGATGTGGAGAAAAAGGAACCCTCGTGCACTGCTGGTGAGAATGCAGACTGGTGCAGCCACTGTGGAGAACAGTATGGAATTTCCTCAAAAAACTAAAAATGAAACTCCCATTTGACCCAGTGATCCCACTTCTAGGAATATATCCCAAGAAACCAGAAACACCAATCACAAAGGATATATGCACCCCCTATGTTCATAGCGGCACAATTCACCATACCTAAGATTTGGAAACAGCCTAAGTGCCCATCAGCAGATGAGTGGATTAAAAAACTGTGGTACATCTACACAATGGAATACTACGCTGCGGTACAAAAGAAGGAATTCTTACCATTTGCAACAGTATGGATGGAACTGTAGAGCATTATGCTAAGCGAAATAAGCCAGTCGGAGAAAGATAAATACCACATGATCTCACTCATTTATGGAATATAATGAACAACATTAACTGATGAACAAAAACAGACCCAGAGACAGAGAAGCATCAATCAGACCGTCAAACCTCAGAGGGAAGGTAGGGGAGGGTGGGGGTCAGGGGGAGAGATCAACCAAAGGACTTGTATGCATGCATATAAGCCTAACCAATGGACACAGACACCAGGGGGGTGAGGGCATGAGCAGAGGGGTGGGGAGGGCAATGGGGGAATAAGGACACATATGTAATACCTTAATCAATAAAGAAAAAAAAATCCCTGGCATTGAGCACAGCTTTCTTGGCACATAGGAGGCATTCTCGATTTAATGAATGCTCTCGTGTTGTATAAGACCAAACCTTTTCCCCAATCACTTTTATTAATGTCTGTGTATGAGACTTTCTAAATTCAAATTATCAAATAAACAAAAACAATCCACTTACAATATACTAGAAAATGAAAAGGACCTTTGAAGAGGGGAAGAATGTGGGCTGACAGAACAAAACTAAGAATCACAACTGACCGACTGACCAGGTCGGAGATTTGCAAAGGTCAGCTATTTGCACACACTTGGAAACTCTCAGGAGTCTGTAAGCACCAGAGTGAGCTGGCTTTGAAGAATGAAACTAACATTTTCCCCTTTACTTTAGGTACAGCTGAGTCTCACTAATTCAGACTAAAATGTGGGACAACTGTTTGAATTAATGAAATTCAGTATTATAGGATGTTTTATATGTAGTTGCTGTTTTAACACTGTAGACTTTGTTTAATGAAAGTACAGGATTACCCTATGCAAACTCAATTGTTAATCATTTAAAAATAGTCCAGTCTACCATTTGTCTGTATCATTAATTCCATCACACACATTATTTTTCAAAGGTAAGTCAAAGGGAAACATCTTAACACTTGTTTGGATGATCACGACTCTGAACTAGGTTCCTATGAATCGATAACATTTCAACATAAACGTCTTCTTTCAGCAAATATGCATCAATGCATAGTATTCCTGGAGGCTGGAATGAACCGGGCTAGGAAGAAGCTGCTCTGTGCTCACTTCATGTTTCCAAATTATTTTCATGGTGAATTCAGCCAGTTTTCCATAGCTCATGTAACTCCAGGCTGGCTTGAGTTTCCTGCTTCCTTCTTTGGCAAGACCGCACCAAACCTTTTCAAGAGATGTGTTCTTACTTAGAGAAAAGGAAATATCGGATCCAGGCTGTTTTACATGTGCTGGATGCCAAGCACCAAACAAAGCAGCTCAGCTTTTCAAAGATTGGATGCTGTAACTGTAGCCACTTGAGCAAAAGCTCTATCCCTGGACAAGCCAAGTTAAATAAGGCAGAATTAGGGAGCATTAAACTGATCTCCATGTCTAGTGTTCATAAATCTGCATGAAAAAGTTCTGAATCAAAGAAAATAAATTTAAAATGTGTCATACTGGTTCTCATCCAATGGATCTGCGTGTTTTGGAGGAGAAACACATGGCTTGGTGTTACTGCGAGGACTGTCTCTTCTCAGTGCAGGTTGAGTTTCAGGCTGACTGAGCAGAGGGAGACAAGAAAATGCTAGGTTCTGGAAGACAGCACCTGAGATCACACACTTGGAAGTATTGCTTCTACGTAAGGAAGAGGAGGGAACAGTCTCATGATGTCTTGAGAGCCATGACATCGGAGTGGAACATGGGAGATCTACTGCCTCATCTATCACCAGATGCTCATCTCAGGCACAAGGATACAAAACTGTGAAGAATCAGACATGTGTCATAGGTCCTAAGACACATGTTTGGTGAATTTTGGGCCCTTGAGTAGAGGAAACTTACTAAGGTCTGTTAAGTGAGAGGGAGTTGTATTGAGGAGGTTGATTTTATCACAAATGCAGTGCATTGAGTAAAGCAAATGAGTTTTGGCTATAACTAGGGACCACCCACTGCATAACAATATTGGACATGAAGCACATACAGTACAATGTGAAGAGTGCCCCCTAGGGTAGTGCAATGCAGAGCCTCTTCTCCACAGCACAGTCCAACATATGAACCAACCTGCTTGGCTGCAGTTGACTAGACGAGGGATAAATGCGTGCTGAGCCAATCAGAGCAATCAGATTCTTTCTTTAGGAATTTCGATTGAGAAATTTCCAATTAATATATAAAGACAAAGTCAACTGTTATCTTCTGGAACAGGGTGTGTATGTGTTTTGGGTGGTGACTGGCAAGGATGAATCTCTGAGGTTGCATATTTTGCAGAGGGAAAAGAGTGTAGCCAATAACTAGAGAGAAGTAGCAACAAGAGATAGAAGGAGGACCCTCCTCACAGCTTCTCTGTTCCTGGCTGCAGCCCTCTCCCGAGGTCCAGCTGCATTTCTGTTCTGGGTGCCAT